GCGGTAACACATAAGATAGGACCCCGGATGGACCTTACCTTCCTACGGGATGATGGGTACGAGTCCAGGGGCGGGATGTTGGACTTCGGCCCGAGGGCCTGATGAGGCCTCGAATAGCGGTGATAGGCCTCGTATGAAGGATAAGACCTATGGGCGGTGTCGTGCAAACGATGAATGAAATGGAATATAAAAAGAGACCCGTGTGTCGACAAATTAATTAATTAACTTATTATAAAGATAATGAGGGTTAAAGAAGAACTATCATTATATTATGATATCGCTCTATTTGAGGGTCTTAGAAATTGAAACGTTGATTATATTCAATGTAGTTATCATTGTACTTTTCAAATGCTTCAAAGTATTGAACTTCCCTTCACGGGGGAGGCCACCTCACAGTTTCAGATAGAAGTTGAGCTTGCTACCAGTGCCCGTTGCTTCAGGAGAATCTAGGAAGGAAGACGTGGTCCGTGCTTCCTCCGTTTTCTGATTTTAAAACAATATTAATAATGCTCATGGATATTATTTTCTGAATAACTATTTGGGGACTTGCATGCCTAAGTTGCCAAGTGTGGCTTAAACACTTGGATTAAATGTTTCCGCTGCTTTAATGAATATTTTATATTATGTTTGTTTATGGATGTACTATGTGTGAATGATATTCTGGACGCCTCGTATGGTATGAATGTGTTGGACTGCGGTTGACTATTTATACTGTACGGCGGGTTGTTGACGTGTTCGTTAGGTCCGAGGCGTGACACCTCTCACCACATATAAAAACTGTTTACACAAAAATAGTCATGATAAACCATAACTAAAATTTAATTTTAAAGCACAAATCATTATCTTTAAGAATAAGAATATAGAAAATGATGAATGATGTTCTTAGAACATGACACATGGCAAAATATTCCATTGAAATGTACTCCCTCCGGTTTTTATTTAAGTTTACACTTTGACTTCACACATATTAAGGAAATATATTGGGGTTATGTCTAAAATATTACAGAGAGAGAGAGATGGACAAAAAAGGGACCTTTTCCCCATATTCCAAAAATAAGACTAAAAAGGATTAGGAAACTATTATACCCCCATTTTATAGTGATCAAAATACGTCAGTGACCAAATTTCGTTAGTGATTAAAATAAAAAATCTATTATTGACCAAAAACTTCGTCTAATGACCAACATCCACTCGTTCCAATGACCAACATCCACCCGTCAAGTGACAGTTACAAGATCCATCCAGTTACAGTTACCCGACTGTCCAGTTACAGTTACCCTATCGTCCAGTTACAGTTACCCGACCATCCAGTTACAGTCACTCAACCCATCCAGTTACAGTTACCCGACCGTGACAACCGTGCTCCTCCAGTGACCACCGCCTCACCCCTGTTTCGGTTACCACTGCCCGTCCATTAACCGCCGCCCCACCCGTTCCAGCTACCACTTGCCACCGCCCGTCCATTGACCCCGCCCCCACCCGTCCGGTGACTGTTGCTGCCGCTTGCACTACCCCTACCCATCCCCTAACACCCCCACCAAACCCAGTCCCAAACCCGCCCTTCTTCCCAGATCCAGCCTCAGACCTAGCCCCCACCCGGATCCAGCCCCCTCCTCCTGGTCATCCCTCTCCCTCTCTCTCACCAATCCCGACTGTCCCAAAACCCCCTGCGATCTGCCAATGCCCAAATGTCCGACCGTACTGAAAGAAGCAGCAGATATGGCCAATTTCGGATTTCCATCCAATCGCCTATAGAAAGTGAGAAGAAGGGTGTGGATGGCTTGAGGCCGTGTAGATTGACCTTATACCAAAGAAGTGATGTTTGGAGAGGATTCGGTGATTCACAATGGTCACAACTCACATCGATGTTCGACCACCCCTCGCTTTGTGTGAATTCACATCGATCTGCGTCGCCGAGTAGTTGGCGCTCTCCATCGCTGCTAGCATCGTGGCTCACCGAGTCCTCGCCGCACGGCGAGTCCTCGTCGCTCTCTTTCCTTGCTCGTCGTACGAAGGTCTGAGAAATTTGGCGTGGGAAGATGAAGACCGCGGATGGAGTGGAAACAGGCGGATAAGAGAACGACAGATGGGATTTGAGCCATTTATTAGGGATAATTTGGTACTTTCAGATTAATTTAGTCATTTATTTGTCCATATTCAATTAAGGTCCATTTTTGTAAAGATAAAAGCCTACGGTCCTATTTGATCATTCTTTCAAATATATTTACTGAGAGGTAAATTTTACTGTAGAGTACACTGTTGTGACACTGTTTGGCACTGTTTTGGCTCTGTCTTGGTGTAGATTTGTTGGCCAAATAAGGAAGTGTAAACTTGTTTGGGGCATCCAAAAAGGAAAAGTGTAAGCTTAAATAAGAACTGGAGGGAGTATTATTTATAGATAGATTATTTATAGATCTTCAGTTCTTTTTTAGGCACAACGAAAACATTAATAATATATATAATTAAATAACCCAATTAGGTCTTAAATAGGAAAGTTTAGATTTTTAACACTTTGAGTTTAGAGAGCTCTTGCTTCTCTCTAAAAACATAGCGGCCGTCTCCCCTCTTTGTAGGGGTTGAGATTTTCCGCCGCTCTTATCAATATGGGGATGGAGCGACAGATAGTTCTGATTTTAAGTGTTCTATTGCTTGGGATTGCAATTACGTCGAAAGAGATAACATTGGCGGATGAACGGATTGTGGTTGAGAGTTTGTATCAGTGCTGGATCGTGAATCCTTGGTCAGCCACTCCGGCGGTGGTGAAGTTGGTATTCACCCATATTGTAAGAGCTCGTCCTCCTCCAGAACCACCTCCATACCAGGAGAGTTTTGTAGAAAGATTTTATTTCAATATTATTTTCTCTTTAGTAGTACTTGTTTTTGCTTTAGTCCGAGTAGATTTGGTTTTAATGTTTGGATTTTTGGAGTTCTTTTAATAGACAGGGTTTCAGATCCGTTCGTTTAGGCTTAAATTTGCCTGTTTCAGGTTTAGCGAGTCAGATTGCATTGTATGAGGTGACTGATATTATGTCTACTCCTAGGGTTCATGATTGGATCTTTAAAATCTATCTAAAGATTGCCTTGTATGTGTTCTCGACTTTAAAATAAAGCCGTGTGTTTTATGTCTTAAATAGGAATTATTTGTCCTCGAGATTAGGACTTCGACCATTTTGGACCAGAAAAGATAATAGGCCCAATCCAATTGCCTAACAGTGGCTCACGACAGCTTCTCGCCTTCTCTCATGGCATCAGAAGTTCAGAACTGTAAATCTCTAACGGCTAGTTAACGAACAACACCCATCAGTTTCATCGTCCCAACTGGAGTAAGACCTGCCTTTCCATCATATCCGGCGCTTCAGAGGGTGGGCGATGAGTTCTGTCCAGCGTCACCAGTCATGGCGGCTCAACTTTCAAGCGAAGGCCAAGGACTTCGATTTCAAGGTATCCGCAACTAGTCTCTTTCGCCATTGCAATTGCAGTTTCTTCAAATTCTCGATCAAACTGAAGCTCTTCAGATTCATAATCAGACTGAGATCTGAACCCGAGATTTACAGTCCCACATTTTCAAGGAGGTACAAGTCCAAACTCCTCAGGTTTATTGAAAAGTTCCGATGGCGTCGAAAGAGTTCCAACTATTGTGTTCAGACGGTACACATACCTAAAGTTTCACCGATCAATCTGATTAGAACTTAGGTTTATGTTTTTGTATTTGATAGATATGGTTGAGTTTTCAGGTGAAACTAGAGAAGTACATGTAAATATAAATGTAAGATATAATGCCCCAAATCAAATTTTGGACATTAGTTTTTGTGATTCAAAAAATGCATCACTGTGATATGTTAGCAACTAATACTCTTGAATGGTTGTAAGAAGTAAGAATAAGTAACTGTCCGACAAATTTAACACTGGAATAGAACCCAAGTGTTATGTATTTTTGTACTTCGTATAATTTAGATACTTTGACATACATGTGTAATCATAACATACTGGTACAAGGCACACGATTTTCATAGTTTGATGCATTATTTAATTCATGAAAGACTAATGCGCAAAATTTGTATATCACTTAAGAATTTGGACATTAAATAATGTAAATTTAAATGTAATGTAAATACAAACAAAAATATAAGTTCTCTATTAATACTATGTTGTTTTAGACTTTTCTCAAGAAATAAGAAAATGTGATCTGATCATTACTGAGGTGCAGGAGGCGCCAAGGTTGGGAGGAAGGGATGGTCTTTTAAGCAGATCGGTTTTCAAGAGAGATAAAAATGGAGTTTTTACGCCATTGGACTCGAACACACTGTTGAGTGTTGTTACCAGCTTCTTCAAAAATGCCATCAGGAGACATTTGTGGGTTATCATTGTCCTTTTGGTTGCTGCTGCTACGGTGTGTTTTTTACACATCTTAGATCATGGGAACCAGTACCAAACCACTGCATTGAACACTATCTTAGAGGCTTTACAGCTAAACCTTTTTGGAAGCTGATGTGGACGGCCTCTTTTCCAAAATATATAGGATTATAATCATGTATGAGCACGGTATTTAATTGGAATCATGTATTGAAGATATTTATTTACAGCACATAATCCCGATACAATCAAATTAAAGAACTTAATTTCAAGTGCTTATTTTCAACAGCCCTTTTTAATGTCCAGTCCCCTTTGTTAAAGTTTCGAAGTCAAATGGGGGTTTGGTGTTTCCATTCTTGAAAAATGAGGAGCTTGTTCACAAAAGAGTTTAAATCTTTTCTATTTTGGGGTTATGAGAGCATCTGAAGTCTGTTGTATTTCATACTAAGAAAGGGCTATCCTAAACCAGCGCTAAACACACAATCAAACCACAAATTGAGATAACTCTAACTCTATATAAAAACTAGCTTGTAGTCCCGGCCTAAAAGGTTAACCCAAGATTTTATATGATCAGTATTAGTTTTGTATTTATGATCAACTGCCATGAGACAAATACTTTAACAGTATTTCTCTCCAGTTGTGTTCACTTTTTCAGAAACAAGATTGTGGTTTTCCTGGTTTAGTGATGTTTCACTAAAACCCAAACCTTTCATGTGTAAATTTTCATTACAAATTTACAAACCACCTTTTGATAGTATATCTTAGATACATATATAGCAATTCAAAGGTGCAAACTGTGTGACAATCCAACTACATGGCAAAATTAAGCTTATCAAGCTATTTTATATGTAAAGGGAAAAGACACATTCGCAATGCAGTGACGCTGGCAAAATTATATGTATAATATTCAGAAGATAGTTTTATTTCTTCTTTTTGGTAAAAGGGCTATTTCTTCTTCATCAAGGCACTTTTGCATATTCATTTCGTCCAGAAAGGTCATTACGGTCGTGTTCCTGAATGGCAGTGCTATTATTAATGCACTGATCCTCGGGAACTTGTACCTCAATCTCTTGCCCATCTTGGGGAACCACATGTGATCCAGCGGTTCCTTGCTGTTCAGAAGCCAGGCTAGTTAGCCCATTCTGCTTCAGATAATTATGGAGAGGCAAACTGGCTTGTTGAAGAAGGCACAACATGCTAATACGTGATGACGACGATGATGATGAGCCTGCAGCAGCTTCTCTATCTGGGTGAAAGTTCAAGTCTAACAACGGTTCACAAGTCTTGACAAACATGTCACTGCTTTGGCTGAGTGGTTGCAAGTCGCTCCCATATCTTTTTTCTTTGTCTGCAAGACGGAGTTGTGATTTGGCCCGTCCAAGAAAAATACCATCCTCCACTTCTGCCATCTCCTCCTGCTTGGCTGGACCCCATAAAAAACGATTCATCTGAGCAAGTTCAGCTTCCCGTTCTGATTGGCGTTTCTTTTTGCGCATCATTAGTGTCTTGAAACGGCGTTTGACAGTCAGGCAAACGTTGCACATACAGGAAGGCTGGTGCTTTCCCTTTCCACTAGGAGGCTGGATGCAGACAATGCAAGAGCAGCCAGGGCGATGCCTAGGGTGTCTTGTAGTTGTTGCTACTGAGGTGGACACCAGCTCCTGCTCATCAACTCTACCATCTGAAGGACCCCTTGCGTTTACTGTCTTGTGGTTCATTTCAGTTCTTTGTTTGTTCCTCTCTAAAACAAACCAAAATAAATATAGGTAAATTTGATTCTAATAATCCAACCTTCTGGTCTAGCTATAACAGTCTCACTTTTCATTTTCTTGAGAAATCGTGTATCTTTTATCAGATCTAAATTTTTCATAAAAGAGGTCATTTTTAGAGTGAACCTCTAAGCAAATAATCAATATTACGTGAAAATTTTAATGTGGACTGACATAAATATATTGATAAATAAATACGATAGTATGTAATATGGGATGTGGAAAATCCACTAACCAATTTGCATCAGCAAAACTAACAGTAATTATAGTGTATGTAAAGATCGCTATTTGCCAGTGAAATGACCAAGTATCCTAAACCAAGTATCATTAGGCCACAAAGTTTTCTTTTATCACATTTATTTACATTGTCAATTATCAATTTTATCACAGCAAGCTGGTAATACAACATACATCCTTTATGGATACACACCGCATTTATTTGAAAAATAAAAACATAGCAAAAACAAAAGGACGAAACAAAACCAAATACAAATTATATGGGGAAAAAGACTTTTTGCCCAAAGTTTATTATGTAGCAAAAGCGGCAATAACTATATTAGTGAAGTTCCAAAAGGTTCTCCAGACTAGTAATTACAAACATGTTAGCACTTATACATGTGTGTGTGTATTCTACCACAGGAATCAAATATTAAAAAAACACTTATTGAAATTGGTCGACCAGTAGTAAGATTAAACATAAGTACAAAACCATGAAAATACTAGAATGATCGGAAATGGTTAACCACATCAATCAGGTGGCACACACATGATAGGAACCATGTGTAGATATGCATCATAAATATACCTATGTCCGATTTAAGAAGGAACTCAAGCTCCTGGGGTGCTAACTCATCTGATGCAGAACATGAACACCTGGGGATAAAAATACTTGCAATTTAAGATGTTTATATTTTGTTTGACACAAGAGGCTTCACATTCAAGCATATGCTGACCTGCAAAGATCCCAAATGTTTTCCTGACATGTCCACTGAGGCGGTAGAAGATAATCAGCAGGCAGCCTTCTCCATTTCAAGCAGTTATCACATTGAGCCCATTGTTCCTGATCCCTGTGTTTTCGATCCCGCCAAGGTAAGTGTTCCCAAATTTAAAAGTGAACTAAAAACAGGTTGCTCTCTAATTATTGTTATTAGAATGTTAGTCAGGAAAATCCACATTTTAAATCTTATGAGTTATGAGGCTAATGGTCCTAATCCATGTTGTTAATGTTCTTTACATGTAGTATATCCTACTATATTGTCTTACCCAGATAAGCGAACTGTAAAAATGCTTCTCTTTGCAAAAACAGGTGGTTCCTACAATACCAGAAGCTTGGGTATAAGATATGAAGCAAGAACTTATTAGCAGAAAGATTCAATCTTCAGAGAAACTGTAGGTTAATAGTTTGTGGTTTGAACCTATGTTGCAAGAGCCGAATCAGTCTGTATGGGTTGACCCATTCACCAAACCGGGCCAGTCATAAAAGCCAAAATTAGTCAAAACCCGGGAAAACTCAACCATCCTGGGTAAACCCAGTTTTGAACTAGTTTTTTATAAGCCTCTTGATTTATTAAAGTTGCTATTCTGCATTAAAAAAATGTGAAAGTTCGCACATCTCATGTTGACCTTTTAAGATGTAAATCTGAGTCTTAACATGGTATTAGAGTCAAGTCTAGTTGTGGTTTGATTATTGTTTAGCACTCATGATTAAGAGTAGTTGTTAAGGGTTCGTTTGACCATTTATACACCCTAATGTTGTCCAGCCCGATTTGGAATCGGGCTAAGAGGCGTATTTTAGTATTTGCCTCACACTAGATTGGTACTATACTACTATGTATAAAGAAATAAAAGACTATAAAATCATGGACTACTCCTCATATTAGGTTGACTTTTTAAATGGAACCCAAGTTTTAACATCTCATTGTAGAGAATTGGTCATGCTACAATAATTTTAATTGTGCAAACCAAATAACCCGATAGTATTGTTGGTCCAAAAAGGATTAAAAACTATATTTTGGAATTTATGTGCTTTCATTTCTTATAGTACCATTGTTTGATACTATGAAGAACAATGACTGTTCTTTAATTTGATGTATTCCCATATGTATGTTATTTTAATTTTTTTAATAGTTTTGACTTTTGACTGGGTTATGCTGCCATTAATGGTTGATCTGTGACCTGGTCACTAGGCCGTATTGATTCACATTCCGGTTCTTGCAACATAGGCTTGGACTATCAACTTTAAACTATTGGCTTTGAAGATTCATACTTCATATTCTTCGAATTCGTGGTCCTCGATGTTAACAGTAGTGAGTCTGGCCCTAAGTGGTGGACGGAGCATATCTTGTATCTCTTCCCATGAAAGCTTCAACTCAAAAGCATCTTGCCTATTAATAAGCAGCCTCTTACTTTTTGAACCTACATTTCGGCTTCTTTTGCGTCCCGGAGTGATGAGAGATAAGGAATGTGGACCGTCCCCATTGTTTTTCCCAACCTTCTCATTGAAGTCCCAGTTCATATCACCACCATACAAATGTTTATAAGATGCATTCGGAAAAACATCTCTGCTTCCACTGGAAGATTGTAGCAAGCCAGAATAGCCACTCATTGAGGGTACATTCTCCGTGACAGCTGAGAAGACAGTTTCACTTGAAGAGATGCCACAAGGCATGACGCCTAAGTTGGCATCCTGATTGGTCAATAATGCATTTGCAGTTAGTATGCAAGAAGATATCAAAACCTGGTTCGTCTAAAAATGTCTAGATGGGCAGGATGGCATTAAAGGATTGAAGTAATTTGTACAATTGTACATTGAAAAAAGAGCTTTCTATAAATGTTAAAGAAGCTTCTAACCTGAGCTGGGATGGCACTTGATGCTTTTCTGAACCCCATCAAAAGCTTTCCTTCTGGATCCATACGACTGAAAATTACTGAAATGCATAAGTTCAGATAGGATGAGAAACCTTAAAACAAACGAATATATATTTAAACTCAAACTTTTATGTGTGTGTGTGTCCTCTTAATGTGGAAAATGAGAATGATATTGGTGCATTGGATTGTAATGTAGGGGCTCCTAAAAATTTGGAAAATATAAATGAAAAAACATGGTGGCATAGTTTGAATAAGTGCAACTTGTCCCACCACGTTCAACATACAAGTGGATTTTTATGCTAAAAGTGCAGTCACGCTTTATTTAAGGTACAATACTTTTTACTATGTGCGTTACTACATTTTTCACGTTAAGACTTTCCTTATAACTGCACACACCCTAAGAGTGTGTGAGGGCAGCCCAAGACAATGTGTTATGGTTAAACATGATGCAAATTGCAACACGAAGATGTGAAGTAAAGGGCATAAACAAGTTTCATGTTTGTATAGATCAGAACACTTAAGATACCAGTATCTCCAGCTTGTAATTGCATGGATTGTATGCAGGGGGTTACACCCTCCAAAACATACATCCTGCTATTATTGTTTGGCCAAAACCGGAACTGGAACACCCACTCCTTTCCATTTATATCCTGAATCTTTAGAGGGAGGCCTTCTGGTTGTGAAATCGGTGGAAGATATGCCTAAACCATGATATATCTACGAGTCAAAATACACATTTTGGAGGTAAGATTAAAAATACCAAAAAGGAATGCAAAATCTCTTTTTTGAGGGGTAAAATAGAAATAGATTCACGTTCGGAAAAGGATGAGCAAATCGGAGAAGCTTACTTCAGCACACGCCTTTGGAAGTACCAAACGCCCAATTCGACCTGCATCACTAGCACTCAAGACCTTCTCAAACAATGGTATAATCGTGGAATTTGAGCTTCAGGGTCATATGGTAAAGGAAATCATTCACAACATTAAGTATATCGGATTAAAGGTGACGAAACTAGTCATAAAATTGAGTGAGTGTTATGTTATGGATACTGTCCAGAAATTTGCTGCAATTCCTGATCAGTTATCCTGGGCCAGTAACGTGGAAGCATCTGATTCTTTATCCTTCCTTCAACAGGAAGCCTGGCAACAGGTATTTGTGGGACCATGCCACTAGTTGTCTCCAATCCAGCAGCAATGATATATTTTGGTGGATTGGGTAAAAGATGGCCAGGCCCTTGTACATTGGAAGATATCAACTTTCCCAATTTCCTTTCATCGAGTAATGTCCCACCAGTACCAATGGTACTTTTATTGCCTAAACGGGCACACAGTGATATACTTAAGTTTGTTTGAACTGGTGATCCAGGCACTCCGTTATAATACTGATATAAGGGGTGTTGAGGCGAATCAAATAATTCTTGGTTACAGCTTGTTGGAAGCATGCTTCCAGATTCTCCTGTGGGATGAAAAATGTCTTCTAATTTTAGTTGGGAGGGTGTCTTGCATCTAGTATCATTTTGGGATGGAAAAGAAGGTTTATGAGCAATGTTTCCAGGATCATCATCCAACACCATATTTATTGGTTTCTGGGTGTCACATCCCCCTGACATTGACATCTCTTCACCCCCACTAGTTGCAGTACCACATCTTTTATCTTTTTCTTGAATTGGCACCTGACCAAAGAGAAAGAGACATAAACGTAGACCTACTAGCATTAGATTTGATGGGGGAAGAATGTTGACCACATTCAAAGACTAAGAATCCTATTCAAATGCTTGATTCTACACTGATAAACTAATTCAGCATATAATCCTTGACACAACATAAAATGTTAATGCATCACCATAGGAGAAGAAACCTAATGTCTTATATGTTGGTTTGTTATCTCATATTCCAAACTCTCTTTCTTACAGAAAATGAAAGAGAAAAATGTGACTGCAACCTATAGATATCCACATTAAGAATGAAGTCACATATTAATATTAAAGTCTCCATTCTTATAATGATCAAGCCTGTGTCCAAATTAATGATCATGTTTAAAACTTCAAAGTCCCATTCTCATTTTTACATAGTCATACACATAGGTGCACACACACAAGAATGTGATAAGTTATCTTACCATTTCAATCTGTGAACTTTTCACACAGTTGATGCAGCATACACCGCCACTCTCTAATAGTTCAATCCAAGAGCTGGAAGCAATACATCCACAGTGAAGATGCTGCCAAGGTTCAAAAAGTTTACTCCATGTTTATTTGGGGCAGCTTAGAATACAGACTTTAATTATGACCAAACCAATAGACTTACCTTGCCACAAGAACTGCACTCCCTCCAACCCGTGGCATTCAAGTGGAACATGTCACAGAAGACTAGTTGTTCATAAGCAGTCCTGAAAAAATTAAATATCTAAAGTTCTTATCTAGTAATCCCACACCAGTAAAAAACAAAAATGAAAATTACAACATAAGTTTTTGGACTCCTCCTGCCAGGTTAATATTTTAGGATAAAATCTCAAATCTTAATATGGTATCAAAGAGCTAATTACGCTCCAAAAGTTGCTCGATGCTGGCAAGCCTTAATAACGAGCATATGAATTTCAAAATTGACTTGTTTCAAATACCTTAAATGAGCCATTATATTTTAGATATTTCAAGAATACCTCCCAAAAGTTGCTGGAATTTGGCGGTTGTAAGAACATGTGGGACAATGTCACTGGTGAGGCGGCATTTCACTTTCAATATACGTTTAAGAGTGTAAGTGGTTTTATTTTCTGATAAGATTCAATTGTGGCACGTAAACACTGATTTTCACCTTTTTTTTCTTATCCACGTTACATGTTATGTAAATAAATAAAAATTGGGTCATCCATCTATGGATGATGTTGTTAGGAATGTTATGATTCTTGATGGATGGCCAGAAAACACACTGTCATTTGGTTCAACTTGTTGCTCATATATACTCCCTCCGTCCCCCTAACGTTGTCCCGTTTTACCTTTTTCGTCTGTCCCATTAAGTTTGTCTCATACCATATTAGGTAATGTTTGAGTGGTTAGAATTCATTCGTACTTTATTCACACTTTATCAATTCAATACCAATCACACAATTCTACTTTTTCTTAAAAACCACACCACACCCTTTGCCCCAAACTTAGGGGGACGGAGGTAGTATAAAGTTTTCTGGCAACAAGTTAAATCCAATGACAGTGTGTTGTCTGGCCATCCACTTAGACTCTTAAAAGTATATTGAAAGTGAAACGCCGCCTCACCAGTGACATTGTCCCCCATGTCCTTACAACCGGCATTTTCCAGCAACTTTTGGGAGGTATCTTGAAATACTTTTGCTGAGGCGGGGATAGGTTTAAGTTTTTTAAACTTGTTAAGGGGTGTTTGGAACTGATTCTGCTTCTTTTTTAAAGCAAAAGTAGAATCAGAATCAGTTTTCAGAAGCTGGTCACCCCCAACTTCTAAAAAAACAGATTCTAGGAGTAAGTTAGAGCACCAGAATAACTTCTGCACTTTCACCCAAACACTCCAGCTTCTGCTCCTGCTCCATGAAGGAGCAGTAGCAGTTTTAAGAATCAGATCCAAACACCCCCTTAGACACCTAAAAACGGATCATCTACTTTTGTGTCACGAACCCTATAAGTAATATTGGTATCACTCTTTGAAAGATCAACCCCTGAAAAATCCCGAGATCCTTATATAAACTGAATTGATTGTAAGACTTGAATGCATAAAAAAAGACAGATTCTTTAATGTAATGGATTACCCGCATGTACTACAGAGCGTGGAAAGTTCACCAGAGCGCAGCGGCCAGCCTTTCTTACACTGAACTGTCAAATTAGCCCTGCAGAGCCCATTCATGCACTCCCTCGAACCCATTCCTCTCTCACGTACTTCACATTAATCCTAACAGTAACAGAAACGCCATACCCTTCACATTTTAACACAAAAAATTTACAAAGAAAAAACACAAAAGGAAACTAAGCTCATTATTACTACAAATGACAATTTAATACTCCCTCCGTATTTGTAAGTTCTCTACATTAGGATTGGGCACAACATTTAAGGGTGAAAGAATAGGGATAATGAATAGTGTAGAAAAAGTAGGAGAGAATGTGGAAAAGTACGAAAGAGAAGATAAAAAGCAGAAAAAGTAAGGGTAATCGAGTATTTTCAAAGGAAAAACTTACCAAAAAAGGAAAGTGTAGCAAACTTTTAAATACGTCCAAAAAAAGGAAAGTGTAGCAAACTTTAAAATACGGAGGGAGTAATGAACTCCACAACTCCACAAGCATGTTAGGTGGAAACTCATAGGAGTGTTATTAAGTCAACAGTCATCAAACTCTGAGGCTCTAGCCAAGGATAAAAATACAAACCAATATTCGGTACTCCTATCAAGTTGACCAACAACTAATTAGGTTAAACCACAATAACCATATTGAATTCAAGCCCAAGATTAGTCTGTTCCAAAAAGTCACCATTCTTAAGTCATCCTATACTGGCTAAATATCAAAATACAAACCAACATTAAGTGAGATTGAGAGTAATCATACCTTAATCAGCTACTGTATTTTCTGCAGATTTGTTGACTTTGCCCATTGTCATAAATCCCTAATATAATCCACAACGTTTCATGATTTAAAACATATAACATCAAACCAACTACTCCACGGAGCAAAAGTAGTATCCAAGATACCTACGTTGCACACTTGCACATAAACAGGGGAAACACAGGGGAAATAGGAAATGAAAACATCATATTTGATAGAAAAATAACTTCTTGGAGAGTTTTAAAAGAGTTTCAGTAAAATTTACAGAAAGTAGTTTACCTGTTTCATAGAAGAAACCACAAAGGATACGGATAGAGCGGTAAAATCGAGAAAACACTGTATATGGAAGCTGATGGTGATGTGCAGAGTAGTTGTCGGTGGTGGTGGTGGTGACAGGTCGGAGGAGAGGCTACCGAGGGGAAGAGGTCTCCGCCGTGACAGAGGATTGGTGGGATAAATGAAATAAGAAGGAATGCATGCAAATTGCAAAGTGAAGAGAATGAAAAATGGGAATGTAAGAAAGACGTGTGAAACTGCGGGAAAAAGGCAGGGCAGGGGCAGAGCACTAGCTGGTGGTGCATCAGAAGTGCATGCACGAGGAGAGAGAGTTGAAGAGTGACCAGGGTGGTTCGCCTTTCCCTTTCTGTTTTCATCATCCTGACGTCCATCTTACTCCATTTCCCGTTTTTTTTTTCCGTTTTCTTTTACTTTGGGTGTTTTACAAGACAAAAGTCAATGATGGTCATTTTGAACTTCATGCTCCTTTGCTCCCCACTATGCTCCTGAGCTCCTTTGGTAGGATTGAGATCCTCTGCCCGACTAGGACTGTGTCTTGCTCAACGGACGGATGAATATGAAGAAGAGCACCTCGAGATACACAAAAAATGGCCCCCAATGATCTCCGACCGTTGACGGTCCTGATCCGACGGTAGCCCTCGACCAGGCACCCTACCTTGCTACTAGAGCAAGGCAGACCCCAAATCCCCTTTGGTAACGTGTGGATTGAAGTTCTCCAAATTTAGAAAGTTCTCATTCAAGTGACTATATTAGCTTATTTTATTGATTTATAAAAAATTATATTTAAAATATGTATTAATAAATAAAGTAAAAGTTATATGAAAAAATAACTAAAATAATTATCTACAATATGGGTTTTCCCTAAAACATTACTAGGAGAAAAGTTATGGACAAAAATATGATTTAGTAAATTTTAGTGACTCTAATGTGTTCAAAGCTTACATCATAGTCACTGTATGGCAGTAACTTTGAACACAATTCTAGTCACTAAAAGTTACTAGTATTTAATTATATTTTTGTCAATCACTTTCCCATTACTAATATTAGTGGAATTTTTCTCTACAATAACTTCAGCTAATACGGCTAGAAAAGTAACTTCAACCTTACTTTTTCTTATTATTACACAACCCAGCGCGCGAAATAAAAAGTTACAAGTTTCATAAATGTAAGTAAACATATTATCAACTTGTATGTCTTTACAAATTTCTCATCAATTAAAATACAATTAATTATTTATATTGTACATATACTCCGTATATGCATGTGTGTGCTATTTCCTCACTTTCTCACTTTTAAAACACAGCTAACATTTATGATGAATATTTTCAGTCATTAAGTACTCGTATTAATATTCTAATATAATAATATGCATTAGTTCATTAACCGTGACTAAACACATGTATATGTATATGTATATGTATATGTATATGTATATGTATATGTATATGTATATGTATATGTATATGTATATGTATATGTATATGTATATGTATATGTATATGTATATGTATATGTATATGTATATGTATATGTATATGCATGTATATGTATATGTAGGGTAAGGTTCAAGTGAGAAGAACCCTTTGGGTGAGAAATGAGAATGAATCATAGCCATTGGATTCGACTAAGTTGCAGTAAAAGACATTTCATGATGCACTGAAATATGCAATCTAGCACGGTGGCATTTCTGTAAATACTTCTGAAAAATCCGTATTACACGTGTCTAGTGCAACATGAAGCTATTTCGGTGCAACGCCATCAAATATTAGTGCAACATGAAACAGTTTTAGTGCAACATGTGCAAAATTTAAATATTACTGCAACATAAAGCCAATTTTAGTGCAACTTCGTAAATCCAATGGCTGAGATTCATTCTCATTTCTCACATTAGATGCATTTCTCACCTGAACCAAAATCTGTATCTGTATCTGTATATGTATATGTATGTGTATGTGTTTTTTATATACTACATATAATTTAATTAAATATGTTTATACATTATTTATATATGTATGTTGATATATGTGTGTGTATTATATATTTTGAGTTTATATTTATAACAGGGACAGGGCGGGAACGGGGCGGGTGTAGCATTCCCCATCCCCGCCCCATATTTTAGCGGGGGATAATTATCTCACCCATTCTCAACCCCGCCCCGCCCCAAACCCCACCCCATCCTCCCCTAACGGGGCGGTTCCCCACGGACACCGCCCCCATTGTCATCCTACACTGTAGTGACTAGTCATATTTTTGTCCCGGAAAACTCTATTAGTAATATACATGTCATTTTTTCTATATACAAACGAGTAAATGACACATATAAATGGCATTTTCATTCTAAAACTACCGCCATCCAGAAAAGTTCATCATATTGACTTTTATTGATCAATAGTGATAAACGTTGGATAATTATTTTAAGTATTATATTTGTATATAATTTAAAAAAAATTATACTTTTATGAAACATATTTTTAATAAGGAACACTTTAATTAATATAATATTAATATTCAAAATAGTTTCATATTAAAAAATATAAGTAACAAAATTGGCTACCATTGACCAAGAAAAGTTAAATTGACAAACCATTTTGGGATGGAGGGTCGGAGTATGATTTATTAGCTTAAGGTATTTACAAATGCATTATATATTTTTATTTTATCTAAAAAATGTCATACCTTCAATGTTTTTGTGAATAATACTTTCATAGTACTCCATCCGCCGCCCTATTATTGTTCTAGTTCTTATTAACTTGGTCAACACAAATCACTCTTAATCTCTTACTTTATACTACCTCCGTCCCGCTAGACTTTGCCAAATGCAAAGTAGGTGTGAAATAAGAATAGTAAAAACTGTTTGGTTAAAATTTGTGCAGAGGAGAAAGAAATGTGTATAACCACAAATTAGTTGCTTTAATAGAAAAGTGGCAAACTTTTTTGGAACAACTAAAAAGGGAAAGTTGACGAAGTCCAATATGACGGAGGGAGTATATCAATTTTTTATCAAATTTGAGTGAGCCTAGGGATCCATTTGCTTTATCGTCGATCAAGTTTCGTAATCCGCAATGAGACAATAATAGGGGGACAAATGTAGTAATATTTTAAGAGAGATCTAGTTTCAAGTTAGAGATCTATGGTGCGCCACTATGGATCTTCATGTGCGACTATTGGTGGTAGGATGCCTTCTCTCCTCTAGTCGGTAAGGCACAACGTAGGAGATCAGGTTTGCGCTTCGATTCACTGCTGGGGTTTGAGCGGCGATCTAACACGATAGCATCATCCTGAAGAAGCCTCACGAGCTGATCGCGAGCTACGAGCGGTTGGCCATATGTGCGGACAAGGTATGCATCATTTTGCTGGAGGAGTGTGAAAACGATGAAGGGGGGGGGGGTGTCGAATGGTCGTTAGATGGTATTTTTATCATTGAAAAGATGGTGAAATTCATGCTCTTCGAGGACGTCATGCCTTCTATTTGGAAACCTAGATGTATTTGTTCTATTTTCTATCATGAAACTTATATGAGACATGTTATTGAATATGATCCATTTTATATTATCAGAACCTTGTAATCTTGCATGGATTAAAAGTAGACGACTTACCTTTGAAAGCTCCTCTATACTTTTAAGAATTCCGGATTCAAGTGTATAATCTGCCAGTCTTAACCCTATAGGTGGCAAAAACCATTGGTAACTCTATAGGCGGGTTTGTCAAGCTAGACAAAAATTAGTTTGAGGAGCTCTTGAGGGCTTACTTGAGAGTTGAGATATAAGGAGACTTTTGAAGAAGAATATGAACGTTAAGAAAGCAAAAGGGGACCGATTATGGGTATATTATAGGTATGAAAAACTCCCCATTTTTTTGCTTTGTGTGTGACGTCATTGGTAATGCGGATAGATTTTGCCCTTAAGTGTTAGAACAATCAAACTCAAAGCAAATCAATTCAAGGAGTTTGAACCATGGATGAGAGCAAACAACACACGGAATGGAGAGAGGGTGGGGGATAACAAGTGGGTGGTGTTGGAGAAAGGAAATAAGCAGAGGATAATAAAGATGGCTAGAATGGAAGGATCCCCATACTAGTAATGCGGGTTATTTACAAGACATTAGGGGTTGTTTTCATTTTGGTTGAGAACCCCTCTAAGAATGAGAACTCTTAAAATGAGAACTTTGAGAGTGAAGACGAAGATCCGTTTACTTTATCGTCGATCAAACATCGTAAACCGTAACGGGACAATAATAGGAGGTCGTAGGTAGTATTAATCACTACACTAAGAGCCCGTCGTAAATCGGCTGATTTGACTGATTTTGCTGAAATTTATTAAGTTCTGGCTGAAGTGACTATATCGGGTGATTCTGCTGATTTAAGAAAAAACATTAAAATATATTTGATTAATAAAATAAGGAAAAAAATATATGTAAAAATAGCTAAAATTGTCATCTACGATAACTTCAGCCAATACAGTCAGAAAAATAACTCTGACCCTACTTTTTCAGCTTATTACCCAATTCACCGCGCAAAAGCAAAAGTTATGTGTTTGGTGAAAAATTTGGCTGATAAGATACTTTCTAATTTGAAAAATATATAGCAACACAAATTGATGAAAACAATTTTCATAATATAAAACAATGCCCCTACAATGTAAGCAAAAACAATTTCAAACATTTGAATTATAAATTAAAACAATACAATCTGATTTGAAAATTCAAACAGGTGGACGGAGAGACTTCAAATTTTCAAGCATTTCAGAACCTCATTGACTTGCTGAATGCCTTCCAGCCGGTGGGGTGCTTCGGATCGGCCGGCGACAACCCACCGTCGCCATCGTCGTCGTCATTCACAACAACCTTCTTCTTACTTCCCAGAATGGGTCTCATCAGCTTCTTAACCGCCTTCCGCAGACCCAAACAAATGCGGCGGCGGCGCTTCCCCTTCTCCAGAACCAGCGGCGGCGCCAGTCTGGGCCGGTAAGGCTGATCGGAAGCACTCCTGCCCAGAATGGCCCGGTTCAGCTGGACTTCGAAGGTCAACCTCTCGTACTGGTCAAGCAGAGTGCTCTGTTCATCGTCTCCAAATCTCTTCAGGACTCTGGCCATTTCACTTCCGTCCATTACTGAATCTGCGGCATAATTAATTCACTTCTACCTGACTACTTATAAGCTGAGGCTAATCATTGAAAGGGGTTTTGGATTTCTGTATTCTGGCTTGAAGAGCACAATTTGGGAAGAGAGTTTTCAGATCAGAGGAGCAAGTGTAAAGGGCAGGGGTGAAGAGCACAAGCCAGAATCAGAATTTAATTTGGAGAACTGTAAAGGCTGCATGGAAATGAAATGAAACCTTCCTGCAAATATATTTGGCGAAGCAATCGGCACTTCGTTAGTTCGATTTTGTTAGTTGAATTGAGTGAGTGGGTCATTACTATGGAAACAGATCAGTAATTAAATGCATCCCCGCGAGTCCACGACCACACTAATCAGAAATTTTAAATTCAAAAAATGTTTGACACCTTGACTTACATTTTGGAAAGTTAATATGGACCATCCTTGGTCACAAATATTTTGTACACATTTTACATTCGCCTCCTAATTGTTTATCTAGAAAGCAGTTTCCGAATGAATTATCTATGTAAATAGACAATTAGGGACTGTACAGTATTAGTACAAAACATGTGTAGCATTTGTGAGCTAATATACACCTCGGTCTCTCCCTCGCTTCTCCCTTCTTCTCTCCTTTCCAAGAGGGGATCTGGCTTAGCGTTAGGAGTATTATGTATACATTAATATATAATATTGCAGTAGTTATGTTATACTCCCTCCGTCCCGAAAAGGTTTGTCAAAGTTAATAAAGTAAATGAATTGGAAAATTTTAAATCTGTATGGTTGAAATTTGTATGGTTGAAATTTTACTAATTATGTTATACTTTCACGTGGATTAATAAATTAAAATCTGTATGGTTGAAATTTATGCAGAGGAGAGAGAATTAATTTTAGCCACATATTCCTTATTTTAAGACTATGTTTGGCATGGAAAAGCTGCTAACTTCTAACTTATCTATTACTACGTATTTAAAGTCACTAAAAGACCCTTCTTCTGTGTTTGGCCCGTTAAGTTTTTTGAGAAGCCCGGGTCTTTTATCATCTTTTACCAGACGCTTCCCAAGGTAGCGTTGATTAAAAAGATCTTTTCCTAAAAAAGCAAATCTTTTTGGGATATCTAAAAAAGGAAATTTGGTAAACATTTTCGGGAGGGAGTAATAACAAGTTAACAACTAACACGCGGAATTGTTAGCACAAGTCATGTTGGCCCATGGAAATAGTATGATCGTGCAGCGCAGCAAAAGGATCCGAGTTTGAACCTATGTTGTAAAAACCGGACCGGTGAGTGACCCGGTCATGTGACTAGGTCACGGGTCAACCCGGTCAAATCCGGAAAACCGGTAACTATTATACGTCTATATAATAATAATAAACATATAATTAGTATATACTTTTATTAGTATTGTACATTTATATTCTAATTTGGCATGATTTTCATTCTTAAATAAATAGATTAATATATTACATAGTTTAAAAAATTGCAATTAAAATTAAAAAGAAATTACTTTTTTTGGAAAAAGAACGAAAACCGGGTTTTTTGGGTTTCTTGGGTTTGGGTCCGGATCGGGTTTTTTTGGGTTAGCCGGGTTTTTCTGGTTTTTGACCATTTTCGGGTTTTGAAGAAACCGAACCGGATTTTTGTCTGGGTCACCGGGTTCCGGGTCAACCCGGCCGGGTCGGGTCGGTTTTTTAAACATAGGTTTGAACCCCATGGACCTAGTGTTTATAATTTCCAGTGCAACATTAGTAATTTTTTTAACACGCTATCCAATTTGTTTAACACTAGTGTTTAATGTTTTAAAATTTTCCATTTTTCTATCTAAAATTTCTTTGTCCCACAGGGAAGAAGAGAAGAATTATTCCTTCAAATGGACCTCTATCATTTTTTTTACATTGGGCTTTTGAATGTTAGTATGCAAAATTAATTAGTTCAAATCATTGGAATTTTGAATATTAGTCTGAAAAAATCATTAGGTCAATTAGTTGGGCTTTTGGATATTGGCCTGATAAAATAATTAGTTCAATTCATTGGCCTTTTGAATATTGGCTTCAAAAAATAATTAGTTCAATTCATTGGACTTTTGAATATTAATTTGAAAAATTATTTAGTTCAATTCATTGGACTTTTGAATATTGGTTTAAAAAATTAATAAGCTCAATTCATTGTGCTTGATGGGTGAAATTTGGTTTTGGAGAAATTGACTTGAAAATTAGTACTAAATATTTCAGTGAGCGAGCCAATTTCGATTCGATATCTATGACTTTTAAGATAATTAAATTGTCGGTTCTGTAATATTTTTTTTCTTTGACATTCATGTAATATTATTTATCTATGTTTTGCCATTTTGACATTTTTTGCAATACAACTTATTCAATTAAATTTTGGCTTCACTTGAATGCAAATGCTAGATCCGCCTCTGCTCCTTTCCGTCTAGACATTTCTCTTCCCCTTCCTCTTTTTTCATTTTCCAGCTTTATCACATCATCTTCATCATCTCCATATCCACCACGCATTTCATCCCCATCATTTCCAGTTTGTTCATCTTCTTTCTTCATTAGTTTTCATCTTCTTTCTTCATTAGTTTTCATCTTCAACGTGTCATATTGTATCATCGTTGATCTAACTTACTTCATTAAATTATTATCGAAGTTGTAGTCACTGGAATGGTTAGCAGACATTTATTGGAAAAAACATTTTTAGCTACTTTTTTCAACAAAAAAATTGTGTTTTATTAATAAAAATATACGTTAGATATAACTTCTTTTCAGCAGAGCCAATTTAAATGTATGAATTAATGCTCTAAAATGCATGAGCCACGGTAAGTCGTTGAGACCAAGCCTCGAGGTTTTGAAGTATAGGTGGGAATAAGCGGAGCTTAACGTGAAAAGATGTTTTAAAGTTCTATTGATAACTACTCCAAATTATAGTTACGAAGTACGGAGTATATATAAAGAAAATAAATAGATGTCCAAGATTTATTATACAACATTGAGCCTATTTTTTACGTTGTTCAATATATGTAATTTGTAAATGTAAAAAAGTGTAGATATAAAATGATATATTGTTGTTTTTTACTAATCCATATTTCGATTCCATATATAACATGTTTATAAATAGTACTCATTTCGTCCCTCTCATATTGTCCCGTTTTCCGTTTTCGGAAAATCCTACTAAGATTTTTAGTGGCTCAAAATCATTTTTTATTTTATTCTTACTTTATCAATTCAATATCAATCACATAAACTCATTTTTCTTAATAATCGTGTCACCTCTTCATATCTCAATGCAATGTTAGTGGAACTGATGCAATATTTTTTAAAATTTAATCTTTTTTCTTGGAAAAAAACAATTCATCCAAATAACATACACCTTTCACGCCTTGGCTTACTCTTTTTCATACATTTTGGTAGTAAACTCTTCAGTTGACCGCCTTTTCCACTTCTTTTAACTATGTGAGACATTTTTTTTGCCTCCTCATGCCGTCTTTTAAAACATTGGCCTCAATCACAATTTCAGTGTTATCAAATGAGTTCCTATAATATACTACCTACATTATCCAATTAAATTCTCTCTTTCTCTTTGACCGTTAGCTGTTCAAAATTTACAGTACTTTATCACACAAAGATTAATTTTGCATACTTCATTTCAATATATATGAATCCAATGTTAATTCATTACAGGTTTTATAAGTATGGTTTTTTAAGATATTTAGACTCAAACTTCCACCGCCTAAAGACCTTAAAAATCAAGTTGGGATTGGGAACTTAATTGTGGAAACAGGGAGTAGTTATTATGACACTTTATTTGTTTCATAAATTTCTACTTAATTTCTTCGTTTCAAGATAATTTGGAATTTTCTTTTAACTCCCTCGATTTTTCTACACAACAGGATACCATTGTGATCCCATGCACTCACGGGCGGAGTTAGGGGAGGGCCAACCTTGGCCTTGGTCCATGCTGAATTTAAAAAATGTCTTAATATTTTATGTAAAAAATTACGTGTAATTCTTTTTCAATATACTTTGTACCGGTCCAGTATGGTCTAGTGCCCTGACTCCACCCCTGCATGCACTGCTCCTCCAAGATGAACTATCTTGTGATCTCAATAAGTGCTTTTTGTCTCGCTGCTATAAAGAAAACTGCATGACCAACGATAAAGGAAACTAGCCAGCTAGCCGCAACTACAAACACAGAAGAATGAAACGCCAACCCTAGCGAATAGGCCACTCTACTCGAAGGCAAGGAGCTTGCAAAAGTAAATGAAAAATGAATTAAAAACAATGTGTACTACATCCCTCTTAAATTGATTTGCAACTTAGAATGTCTATTTTTAATTAAGTTGGCCTATTCATATAATTAGAATGTCTATTTTTAATTATATTTTAATTTGGAGTTTGTAATTTTGAAGAGATTTTAATGTAGTTTCTGAATATGTAAATTTTAATTATTAAAGATTGAATTAATTAGTAATATGGAGGATTTAACTTTAACAATCATTGACTTTGCAAATCAATTTAGGACGGAGAGAGTACAGAATAAAAAACCAACATATTAATTAAAATATATTAGGAGATATGTAGATGTTACAAATAAAAGTTGCAAGATAAAGGGGGTGTTTGAATCTATCTTACTGTTTCTTTTCCTTCAACGAACAGAAGCAAATATTGGAATGTTTGAGTAAAAGTGTAGAAGTACTTTAAGATACTCTAAGTTATTTTTAAAAACAATCATTTAGAAGTTGGGGACCGCTTTTTGAAAATCTAATTATATTTTGGGGGAATTGGACTTTGCATAATATTTTCAAAAAACTTTGACTTTGCACGTTGTTCCACTTATAAATTCTTTGATTTTGCATTCCATTTACAAATATTTTTCACAAAATGAAAGTTTGCTTGTGATTGTGTTCTTCACAAAGAAAGCAGAATTAACTCTAAACCCTCCAAATATGATACCACTTCCACCGCCGTTGGATCTCGAGTAAAAAACCAATCAGAACGAACTGCAGTTCAACTTCATTGACCGTTGTAGACTTCGCCCATTAACCACACTTCTCGTCCCTCTTCCCGCACCTCTCTCCTCATTCTTCAACGATGAGCATTACGATGGAGCATTTCGCCATCGGGAACCCTAACTCCCGCTTGAATCGGTGCTTTAGACAAGCATTTAGCGCTCGCCTTTATACACCGGCGACGCTAGGGTTGGAATCCGGTCGCCCTCGATTTGCACATTCCAGAAGCTGCAGGGTCTTAGGTCTGGGTCAGTCTATTTACCCTAAAGGCCCTGGTGTAGCCCCGTTGCGCAA